GAAATTTGGGCTGAGGGTGAACGGTGGGCCCAAAGTCAACCAGTGAGATGAGAGCTTCCATAGCCAAGGGTGGACTTGACCCCAGATCTCCCTGGTCCACACTTTAACCATGGCACCACACTGGCTCCATAGTATAATGTACTGTACTGTAGAAGCCCTCGGTTATACAGGGCAGAGCATATAGCTCAGTTAATTTGATTAAATATACCATCTGACTGGGAGGAAGTAGTTGTATGCCTTGCTTCACCACTGCCTGCTTATTCCCCACTGATCCTTCTCCACCAGTCAAGAGGTATAAATCATCTTCAGAAACCAAGTAGATCAGCCATTACAGGTAATACTCATTTAGTGACTGCCTTGTTTAGCAACCATTCACAGTTGTGATGGAAAAGTAACTTTACGACTAACTCTTGCTTTTATGACCTTTGCAGGTATGTAAAGCAAAGGAAAGCTTAGTGATTGCTTTGCTTAATGGCCAAGTTGACAGTCCCAACTGTGGCTGCTAAATGAGTATATCTCCAGCTTCCTTATGTATGCCTATTTTATTCAGCCTCTTTGATGCATTTCAATATGTCTGTTCATTTATCACAGGGAGCACTTGCCTTCATTCCTGCAAAGGTTATTGATCTACTGCTGGCAATAAATGGCAGGCCCCATTTCCTTCTTCAGCTTACAACCTTTTCCAGCTGAACAGGCTCTTACAAGCATTATTTAGCCCTTTACAGTAGTTATTTAACTGGGGGTGTTTCACCCATTTTCAGATTAACTGAATGGTCCTTCAATTGGAATTCATTAAATAAGTGGATAAATAACCATTTTTCTTGCCAACTGTCAAAGCCCAGCTCCAGGGGAGAAATCTTGTCGGCTACTTTTAGCTTAGCTTTAGGAAGCGAGTGTATCCGGCTTCTAGCTCAAAGAAAAGTCGTCGCGCGGACAGCGACCCTACAGTCTTCAGCAGCCAAACTTCGCCTACCTGGAATGAAATTCAGGCTTACTCGCAGATAAAAATGTCCATCGCACCTTCAATCGGTAATCGAGTCAACATCTTCAAAAATCCCTGAAAACTCCCGGGGAAAGGAAACCCACAAAGAATCTCTTCTCCGCCCTCCCCGCCAATCTTCCACCTGTCTCAGTGCATTTTGCCTGCAGCGCCCAGGACCTCCGGGCCCTCCCAGCGCGCTCTCCTTCCCGCAGGGAGGCACGCGCAGATTTTCAGGGGACTTGTACGAACGCAGCCACTGCAGGGATTATCTCATTTCGCTGGGAGTGCGGCGGTGAACCCAATTTTCTCGGTTCGCACGACGACACGCTTAACCACGGACAAACTTCGTGGGCTGGGCTGGCACCATCGCACGCGCGCTGCAACACGCGTCCCGCTGGCTCGTGGAAGGTCCTGGCCCGCCTCACAGCTGGTCCCGCAGTGCAGTTTTGAGCCGGGCAGGGGGGCGGCCCTCCCACGCGGAAGGGCGCGGTGGGAGGCGGCAGGGCGCGCTT